TGTGATTGTCTTGTTTTTCAGAGACCACAAAGACAGACGCTGGCAAGCTTAGGTTTGATGATGTAAATCTCTTTGCAACTTTTTCCCCCTCGTCAGTTCTCTCTAGCCCCCTTTTTTTTTGTTTAAATTTTGTTTTTAAAAAAACCAGGTGGAGTTGAGTTGGAAGAGTATGCTACCACATAGGGGTGTGCAAAAACCCGGTGGTCCAGTCCAGTCCAGTCCAACCCAAAATGGTCTTGTCCGGTCCAATCCAGTTCAAATTAACTATATAATGGAATTAGACTAGACTAGACCAGACTAGTTGGTCGGGCTGGACCGGGTTTCGGACCAAGTGATCATATCACCTAGACTGGTCCGGTCCAGTCTAGGTGAATTTTTTATTTTTCAATAATTTGTAATTTAGATGGTGCCTTTAATTGTTTTTAATGTTTTTAGATGTTTTTATGTATTTATGATGAGGTCTTAATATTTTAGGACGAGTTTCATATGATTATAGGTATTTTTTTATTGTCTTAATTGTACTTATCTTGTTGAAATCTTATTTCTCATAAAGAAAAAAATTTTAAAAAAAAAAGAAAATTGGACAACTGGATTGCCTGGACCAGTCCACCAGTTTGGTAGATCAAGTCCAGTCCAACCCGACCTCGGGTCATCACTGGACCAGACCAGACCACAGACTATCAAACCCAGTCCGACCAAAAAATCAGACTAGACTTCGGATTGGGCTCTGGTCCGGTCCGGTCCGGTCCGTCTATTGTGCAGTCCTACTACCACATATAACCGAGTTGTGAAGGGAAAGGATAGTAATGTAAAAATTAAAAAAAGATAAGGGACTGAGTTATATACGAGTCAAAAATTCAGGGACTGAGTCGCACTGGGTTATAATTGAAGGATTGAGTTATAAGTGAGTTAAAAATTAAGGGACTAAGAGATTAATTTTCCCAAGAATTAAAATATAAACAGTAGTCTAAAACACTTTTACTGACCGACGCTGCCCACCGTCTATAATTATTCATCACAGTTCCCCATTGTTGCCTGATATAATTTTTCCACAACTACCATTCTACCAACATAATACAGGCGAAGCTTCTTAGTCTTTTTACTGTTTTTTTTTTTTGGGTTTAAATTAGGAAAAAAGTAAAGAGAAAATGGCCAAAAACAGTGAAAATTGTAAAATATTAAATCAGGTATTTTTACAAAAATGTGTTGTTATTTACAAATTAATTATTATCAAAATATATTAAAGTGTTGAAACAAATCTTGATATGAGATTTAGTAATTTTCATGATTTTCATTCATCATTCTTTCAAAAATAAGTTGTTGGAATTTTCTCTCTCTTTTTTTGAATAAAGAGAAGCCATTTTCACGGGGGCCTATACTGGGGTGCATGGCTCAGCAATCAGCCTAACAACATTCACTGTCACTTTCAAAGCCCATAACTCCCAGCTACCTTTTGCGGCCAATGCCATACATAAGAGTGTTCAAGGCCAACCTGTTTTGCCGGTTCTGGTTCCGGTTTTATTGGGACGGGACGGGTTCGTTCTGAAATTTTTCATGACAGGACAAATCTAGATGGGATAAAAAAAAAAACTGAGAGGGGACAAAAGAAGAAGAAATGAAAAGAGAAAAATTGTCAAAAAAGGCATTTAAATGTGAAAGAAGAAGAAATGAAAATGAAAATGAAGGCTGTCTTTTCATGTCAAACCAAACAAATTTCTCTTTTCTTCCCTTCTCATTGATGGATATGCCCACCTCTCCCCCCTTTTTAGTGTGCCTTACTAAGATTCCACTACTCTCCTTTTCTTTATTTAATCATTTCATTTTAATCTCTTCTTAAATCATCTTCTTTATTATATCATCCATTAATATATATGTGTGTGTAAATAATTTATAAATTATGAGACTGTCCTAATTTTAATAAAATTGTAAGAGTCTAACTTACATTATTTTTTTAAATCACGAGCAGTATTTATTTACAAGTTGTAATGCAACATAGGAAAATGTGTTAATTTTTTGTAAATTAATATTTTCAAAAAAAAAAGAGTTTGTGTCAAAATTACTTTTTGTTATTTTTTATCTCTTATTGAATTCCCCACGCCTCACAAAACACGCACGTGTTTGCTTTTATAAATATTTAAAAAAACCTTTTCAATTTTTTTTTTCCCTTGCGGTCATCGGAAATGAGGGACTGTTGTTTCACTTTGACTGGACGTCATATTATTATATTCCTCCGGTTCTTAATATAAGACCCATTTAACTAATTTGATTAGATTAAGGAAGTTAGGTAAATTAGTTAATTATAAGAAAAGTGACACATTTTTCCTAAAACACCATAATCATCTTTCTTAATACCCCCTCTCTCTTCTACTTGACTATGATTGAGAGAATATCTATAGGGGTAATTTAGAGAAAATTGATAAATATGAAAAATGGGTCTTATATTTAGGACCAAAACCAACTCAAGAATTGGGTTCTATATTAAGGACCGGAGGAGTATTATTCTTTAATGAAATAATTATCCCAAAGTATTTTATACATTAATGCAATAAAACCAACCAAGTGGAGTTGAGTTGGAAAAGTATGTTACCACATAAAGGGTGTGTTTGGATGAAACCAAACCGTGGTTTGAAAAAGTGATTCTGGAGAATAGATTCTGGGAGAATAGATTCTGGAAAGAATAAATGTTATGAAAAAGTGATTTTGAGAAGTGAGAGTGTTTGGATAGTTATTATCAGAATCACTTTTTATATATACAAATTACTAAAAAAAAGACATAAGTTAATATGATAATTACAGAAAAATAGATTTTATGATATATTTTAATTTGAAGGAATAAAATTGTTAATAATATATTTTTTATTAACATAATTAATAATACATAAGATATATAATTAATAAATAATTAATATGTATATATATTTTAAATATAAGATTAAATATGTTTATAAAAAAATATGTTTATAAAAAAAAATAACAAGATATATATCCTATAGGCTCTCACACTCTCCCTTTTTTCTCCAAAAGCAAAAAATTTTGCTTTTTTCAAAACCATGGTTTTGAAGCCAAAACCATGGTTTTGGCCAAAACCACGGTTTAGACAAATTAGAGGGTTGTTTGGGTGACTTATCACCCAAACCATGGTTTGGATCCCCAAACCATGGTTTGGGGTGTCACCCAAACGGTGCCAAAACCGAGTTGTGAAGGAAAATGATAGTAATATCAAAATTAAAAAAAATAAGGGATTGAGTTATATACGAGTCAAAAATTTAAGGATTGAGTTATAATTAAGAGATTAATTTATAAGTGAGTAAAAAATTAAAAGACTGAGAGATTAATTTTCTCAAGAATTAAAAGATGAGCAGTAGTCTAAAACGCTTTCACTGACCGACGCTGCCCACCGTCTACAATTTATTCATCACAGTACTTTGACAAAATGTGTTGTTATTTACAAATTAATTATTACCAAAATATATTAAAGTGTTGAAACAAATCCTGATACAAGATTTAGTAATTTTCATGGTTTTCATTCATCATTCTCCCAAAAACAAGTTGTTGGAATTCTCTCTCTCTCTCTGTTTTTTTTTTTTTTTTTAAAATAAAGAGAAGCCATTTTCATGGGGAGGCCATGTGCTGGGGTATATGGCTCAGCGATCAGCCAAACAACATTCACTGTCACTTTCAAAGCCATAACGCCCAGCGACCCCTTGCGGGCATACCCACTTGTTGCCAAATTCATTTCACGTGCCGACATTTCCCGCCTATTATTATCATTATTCAAAGGGTTCAACTCTTAACTTATTACCCACGCCTCATTAATTTTAAGGCGAATTAATTTATAACTTATTACCCACGTCTCATTAATTCTAAGGCGAATTAATTTATAAACATATTTTACATAAATTAAGATAAAATTTATGTCTTATATTTTTCTCATATTTTATAAATTTTTATTAAATAGTTGTTTATAAGCTATTCTAAATGAATCTTAAATATCATTTATGCATCATTTTTAACTTATTTTTAAATTTAATAAAATTCATTTATTTAATTTTATTGGGTTAAAACTTATATCAGGCTATATGTCTGCGCGCGCATATTATATATGAAAAAGTGATAGAAAAATATTTATGGAATTTTAAAAAGATAAATTATATTAGGTCCTTTTTTTGGTTATTTTCTCTCTTGTGAACTGATATCAAAGATGAAAATGGAAGGTAATTGTTTAAATGTTAATTCATAGATTATATAGATGTCTATACATTGATTCATGCAAGTTTGAATTCAAGTTACATAACTTTGTTATGTAATATTAATTAAGTGATTTATTGTAATCTGTTGTAATCATTATATAAGTCTACTGTTTATGTACATAAAATTACTTTAATTTTATCCATGAATGGATATTTAATAGGAAAAATCGTAAAAGAAGATCCTAAAATTTAAAAAACGCAGATAAGAACCCGTGACAACTTTACTATAGGTTTTGATAACTTTATGACATATTATTATTATCAAAAGTCAAATTGTCACGAGTTCCTATCTATATTTTTCAAATTCTATAGTCTTTAATTGTGATTTTTCCTATTTAATATTTTTATTTTTTGATGTGACATACATATACTTTAGTTAACAAGAATTAGATTTTGAGGCTTTAATAAAAATAAATTAATAAATATGAGTATGCAAATGCATGATGTGTTTGGCAAAAAAAATGCATGATATGAAATTTAAAGAATGCATATAGTATTTCACTCAAAAAAAAAATACACAATAGTATGATCACTAATTATATAACCAGTTGTCCGTGTCACAATTTCCCCAACTGTCGCACATGGTTGATTCTCTAAATTCTAAAATTATTTCCTAGTTTTAACCCCTCGGCAAGCTTCTACTATAGTCAATGCGCTCCAGCCTTATTTATTGCTTTTGGGTTCAGCCTCAACCACATTTTCACCTGCCTCGACAGAAAAATCTCTTCCGCTTTATCGAAGATTTCTTTCTCCTCTTCTTCTGCCCCTTGACTCTCTCCTCTAGAACCAACGGTCTCCCCATGGCTTCTTCAACCACCAACTCCAAGCCCCTCCTTCCCTGGAAGACCCGCCTCTCTCTCTCCATTGTCTCCGCAGTCACCGACGCCCTTCGCCGTCCTGACGGCACTCTCAACCGTAGTCTCATGAACTTTTTGGACCGCAAAACCAGCTCCAATCCAAATCCCATTAAAGGTGTTAAATCCTCCGACGTTACCGTCGACCCCACTCGAAACCTCTGGTTCAGACTTTTCACACCCACGACCTCTAATTCGGCGTCTCTTCCGGTCATTGTTTTCTTTCACGGTGGCGGGTTCACGTACCTCTCACCGGCTTCCTTCTCATACGACGCCGTTTGCAGAGTGTTCGCGCGTAAGTTTTCTGCTATTGTCATCTCTGTAAATTACCGTCTCATCCCGGAGCATCGGTATCCTGCTCAATACGAAGACGGTTTTGACGTCCTCCAGTTCATCGACCAAAACAGCGACGCTTTACCCGATATTGCTGATCTGTCCAAGTGCTTCTTGGCGGGTGATAGCGCCGGCGCGAACTTGGCCCATAACGTGGCCATTCGGGTTTGCCGGAGCAGGCTCCAGAATGTGCGGATCGTCGGGCAGATTTCAATCCAGCCGTTTTTCGGAGGAGAGGAGAGGACGGAATCGGAGACCCGACTTGTAAACGTGCCGTTGGTCTCGGCCAAGAGGACCGATTGGATATGGAAGGTGTTTCTACCGGAGGGGTGCAACCGAGACCACGAAGCGGTTAACGTGAGCGGGCCGAACGCTGTGGATATATCGGGTATGGATTATCCGGGTACGTTAGTGTTCGTGGGTGGTTTTGACCCGTTGCAGGACTGGCAGAGGAGGTTCTATGAGTGGTTAAAGAAATCCGGGAAAGAGGCGGAATTAATCGAGTATCCAGACAGCATCCATGCATTTTATCTGTTTCCAGAATTGCCCGAAGCTTCACAGTTAATTTCCCAAGTGAAGGATTTCATCAATAAGCGCCTGTCCAGACTGTAATGAAATAGGATCGAGCTTATAAGTTCTTGGCCGCCTCTGTTTTATGTGATGTCTTGGTTCCTCTGTTCCTTAATTTTCATTTTTGTTCGATGTTTATCATCTCTTGTCACAAACATCATCTTCCTCTTGAGCTCTATTGCCGCATATATAGTGGGATTTTTATGCATGTGAAAAAGTGTTGATTTTGTGTACGGTATAATATATATTAAATAGGAATAAAATTGAAAGATTATTAAATTTTAAATGAAAATTAATAAAATTTAAGGTTTTTTTTAATCTTATAAAATATGTTAGAAGTGACTTATAAATAAAACTAAAAGAGTATATGTGCATCATTTACGGTGCAGTAGGTAAGTTTACTGGTCATTATATTCATATTAGATTCTAAATATGAGAGTTAATTTAATGTTAGAACATGTTACCATAGTGGTGATTAGCTACTATAATCTCAAAAGGAAGAATTATTATGAGGCCCAAAAAAAAAAAACCAAAATTGTTATACAATTTTTTAATGGACAAACCTCTTTCTTCAAACAAGTTGCTCAATTGTTGCAAGATTTTTTAGTGCACATATTTCTTTCTTCAAACTTACGGTAATCCTGCCATCTCAGAATTCCTTCCTCGACATTGAAGGTCAAACATGTGCACGAATCCATGTGTGCCACGTGTGATTATTTCTCCGTAATTACGGCTTATGGTCTTTCTACCAAGTAACCTGTAAATTGAAATATGTATCATCCACCGTGTAGTAGGTAAGTTTACCAATCATTATATACATCTAACTCTAATTATAAGATCTTATTTATAGTTTATAAATAAAATTTTATAAATAAAATTTTATAATTAAGACTAAAAGTAGTTTTCTTTTTGGAGATTGGATCTCCTACCTATCCCTGACTATATATCATGATATAACACCGTCGGATTAAAATATGATAGTTTTGATTAATTGTGGATGCAGTTTTGAATTTTTATTTAAAATTAAAGTAATAAAATATACAAAATTTCACCATTTCATGGTTGCAAGATATCTGATGATGGGAAAAAAATCAATTTTTTTTCACCGACGCCCCTCGCCGTCCTGACGGCACCCTCAACAGCCGTCTCATGAACATCCTCGACCGCAAAACCGGCCCCAATCCGAAACCCGTTAAAGGTGTTAAATCCTCCAACACTACAGTCGACCCCGCTCGAAACCTCTGGTTCCAGGCTTTTCACACCAACGAGCACCACTTCTTTGTATCTTCCCGTCATTGTCTTCTTTCACGACGGTGGGTTCACGTACCTTTCACCGGCTTCCCACGCGTACGACGCCATTTGCAGGCAGTTTGCGTGTAAGTTTTCTGCTGTTGTCACCTCTGTGAATTACCGTCCCATCCCGGAGGATTGGTATCCTGCTCAATACGATGACAGTTCTGACGTCCTCCAGTTCCTCCACAAAAACGCCAACGTTTCACCCAAAAACACTGAAATGTCCAAGTGCTTTTTGGCAGGAGATAGTAATGTTAATTACATGGATATGATAATAAGAAGAGACAGCCTCAATTATAGTAATATCTGGTTGGCATACGGTGGTGTGGCCCCTAAAATTAATGAGAAGAGTGGCCTCAATTATATGGCCGCTAAAATTTATAAAGCTATATATATTGTTTTTAAATATAAGATTTATTTTTTATATTTATAATTTTTTTTAAATTATCTCTATAGATATTGTCTCAATTATAATCAAGTAAATGAAAACCAAAATAAAGTAAAATTTTAAGAACTAAAAATTATATTAATCGTGTATTAGATTCTCAAAGTTATATTCATTGGCCTATACAAATGATTACTTGATGTAAAATTATAGGGACTGATAACTTGGCCTTGTTTAATTCTGTTTTTACTTTTTAGGTTCTTAGAGTTATTTTAATTTCTCATAAAGTTATTTTCCAGAACAAGGCTTGATAAATATACATATTTGACCCGTGGTTCTTGTGCCCCAGTGGCACCTCTGCTCCGTCTTTCCTTCCTACGGGGCAGGAGTGTCATGGGTGGGTGTGTGGTTCTAATTGGCTCCTATTTAAAAACAGACATGTAAAAAAAAAAAAGACGTCTTTTTTAATGAAACATGTTCTTTGCCTCTTTTTTCTCCCAATTGTACAAAACTGACCCTATGTTTGATATGAGAAAAATAGAGGAAAGAGGAAAAAAATTTTAATGGGCTCGGTTTAAAAAATTTGAGAAGTAGGATTAAAATATTTTAATTAATTTTTATTACTCTTTCATCTAAATTTTTAATTAAAATCTAAAAACATTATTTTTTTAAATTTTTTAAATTGAACTCATTTATATTTTTTCTCTACTCCTCTCCCTTCTATCTCCTCACACCAAATGGACCCTAAAAATAACATAGTAGGTAAAAATTATTCTGATTTTTTATTCTTTTATAACGCATCGTTTTTTTTTTTGGCAAATTAAAACACTTGGCTGAAAATTAATTATCAAACAATTTTTTAAAAATTAAATAATTATTCTGAAAATAAAAAAAAAAACAATATCTTATTTTCCCCTTTGGGTAGATGTTTAGGTTTGCATTTTAATTTCATGCTGAAGATGCTGATGGGTTGAAGACAAGTTCCCCATCGTCCATGGGACAATGACTCCCCACCAACCTCAATAATCGATACAATGACAGTATGGTCCCTTTTCACTTTTCGGGTTTCTTGAAAATGTTAATAAATCGAGGAGTGGGTCTCTCCTTTTCTCTTCCTTCTTACTTTCCTTTCCTGATCCTAATTATTTTTACTTTCTTTTTCTCTGATCTAGTTATTGGATTAAAATTAAATCAAATTTTTTAAATAATGTTAAAATAACAAAGCACTCTTTATATTCTTATATAGGACTTAATTTAAGAGTTGATATTATTCCTATATGTAAGACCTATTTTCACATTTTTTTTACATTAA